TGTGAGAACCCTATGTGACCATAAAGTGGCCATTCTAGAAATGTCGTAGCCCCCGTATTATTCTAAAGTAAGGGCAAAGATAATACGGTAAGGCTATCGTAGTATTGAACGACCCTGTTGAGAGGTAGTGACGATCTCACTTGTCAAGGTTGTTGGTGACAATGCAAACAATGGGTGCTTGTTGTAGGGGATATACCGCAGCAAGTTCATTGGACTGACCCACCAAGGATTCCATATGGATGGTAACCCCAGTGTCTATGGAACAAATCCTCTAATGAATAGTGGTACATGTGATCCTAGACTGAGAGAACCGGAGCGCCTTGTGCACCGATTGGTGTAATTTGACACTAGCCTAACGCAGTTCTTTTAGAGCGTCAATATGGTACTGATTGACTGCATCAAGGAGTGATTAAGACTATGGTGGATTGACAGAGGATTCATCACTCCCGGGTACAGGAGAAGTATCTCACGGTGCAATTCAGTATATGGCAATGACACTTTTCCTACCCAAAGTTTGCCTTAATTACACTTTTCACCTAAAGTAATATTCTATTACCAAAATCAGTTCTGACGGCGAAAATTCTCTCTATCACCACTATTTGAACCTGTCTCCTCTTTACAAAAACCCTCTCAATCTAGCACCTGATTCTCGTGATTGTCAACCACTATAAAGCTAGGATTTCATGTTCTTAGCTGATTTCCTGTTGATTTTGGTGACGAATATTCAATGGGTCACCACCATTCGATCCACCAGCCTCCCATCTACAAAAAAAACCTCATACCTTGGCTCTTGATAACTCGTCAAATGCTGGCTGAGAAAGTAAGTGTATTTTGGGTTTTAAGAATATAAACGTTGAGTGGGGAAAGTGTCATCAAGGCAACCCTTGGGTGGGAAAAAGTTGTTACTCTTTGAATGAATTACAAAGCAGTAAGAATCAAATACTAATTTGGAGAAATTTATGATCTTTGTAAATTGTCCTCAATTTCTATTTGAGATTAAAGATAAAGAATAAAATATTGGAAATTAACACAAAAAAAATAAATTTTTCCAAGGATAATTGAATTGCAAGAGATAGATAGATCCTTCAATAATAGATTCTTTCTCATGTCCCACACAGGCCATAAGATAATGACAAACTAGAACAGACAAAGACAGGTTGAAATATAAGTTATAAATGTTTGGAGATACCTCTTCATCAATTAGTTAATAGATGAAGATGCATGATTTAATATTGCTTAAGATTGAAATGTAATTCCGATATTTTCACGGTTGAGTGCTGAGATTGCGTCAGATTGTGTTGATCTGATCCTTTCGAGATATTTGGGATCTGAAGTTATCTAGAGCTAGTTGAAAAACTGTCGAAATGGTCGCAACTAGTTTATGCTGAGGGGCGAATTACATCTAACGAGCTTATGTTTTTTCAGACAACGATTGAATCGAACTGATTCTACACCGGTGATAATCCTATTTTTCCATGATTTTGCATTGAATTTCGATAGGAATTATGATACTTTTCATACAATTTGGGCCATAATTGCTACCTAATTTATATTAATTTTCTTTGCAGGCTAAACGATAACTTTGAGCAAATGACAGTTTTGAGCGTAAATTGCATAACTTGAGCTTGGAAAATCAGAATGACTTGATTTTAGAAGCTTTGGAAAGTAAGAAGCAGAGCGACAACTTTTATGTTTTTGGTTTTTCCTAATTCTGACGGAAAAGGGTAAAAACTTTGCTTGAAGTGTGAACAGTATGTTGGAAAATGAAGAAAAACATCTTTGGACGTGCTTCAGTATTTCTGCCATAACTTGAGCTGTAGATCTGGATTGTGTTGATTCTTAAACTAGTGGAAATATAATTAAAGGGCTGCAATTCATATGTTTAACACTTTTCCAGATTCAAACTCTTTCGCTCAAATTTGGCCCAAACGATTCCTACCGCAGCAAGGAAAAAGCTTCACCATGGCAAAACTACGTCAGATGTGAAAAATAAAACGCACGTTTTGGCTTGCTAGGGCTGGTCTTTAAGTGAAAAGGTATAAATTAGCACGAAAATGAAAGAAAAAGGGTCTTGGTTTGTCATTTGGAAGGCAACTCTTGGAAGGAGAAGATTATTGAAGATTTGGGCTTCAAATTAAAGAAGATTCTCTCATCTTTTGTTTGTTTCAATGATGAATCTTGATTCAGTTTGTTTTTGTTATTTTATTTCATTTTTTAGTATGAACGAGTTGTTTAGCTAGGGTTTGATGTAACCTTGATACAATGATTCAAATTATATGAATAATTTACTTTGAGTTTTAATTTCATGATTGAGTATTATCTCTTTGCTTAATGACTTTTGGATGCTTGTCACCATTCAAATGTGTGTTGTTCACAATGAGACTGAGGTGATTTGTGATTGTGCCTTGAGATAAATACTGTAGATTAAGCCAACGCTAGAGATAGGTTTAGTGATCTATGAAATCTAGATAGAATTTCATAAAACTTAAAAGGCATTGAACTATATCTTCATTTTATTGGGTGCGGAAGCTTAATAGGGATAAGTAGAGAAATATAGCCTGAGAATGTATGTTTCACAACTTAGGGAATTCAATTTTCAATCAAGGAATTAGAACTTGGTAATAGATCTATGATTTGGGTAACATATCTAGGTGAAATCAACAACCTAACATTTTTTAGCATTGATTAATTAGTTAAGTTGTTAGGTTTGCTTTAATTTATTTCATTCATTTATATTTGTAATTTGTATTTAGTTGTTAATTTTCCATCAATCCAATTTATTGTTTCTTCAATAGGACTTAAATAGAGAATACGGTACTTAGTAACACTATTCCGTAGGAATGATACTCTATTATCACTTATTACTTTTTGCGAAAGTATAGTTATTACATTTGCATGTTTATGAAATCACGCATCAAGATGAAAAAATCACACACAACAATAGTAAGCAACAATTTCGTAGAGAAATTATTTCTCTAATCAATAATGAATTGCGAGAGATTCTCTACTCTCAGATCACTAATCGAATTGAAAGTGATCGATCTCCTCATAAACAATAACCGATGTCTCGCTACATTTGCGTTTATAAAATCACGCATCAAGATGAAAATCACACACAACAATAGATAAGCAACGATTCGTGGAGAAACTTATTTATCAATCAATAATTGAATTGCGAGAGATTTCTCTACTCTCAGATCACTAATCGAATTGAAAATGATAGATGTCCTCCAATAAACAATAACCGACGTCTTTTTCCCATGGCCCATGTCATCTGTTATATTGACAAATTAGAAGACGACAAAGAATGCCATGTGAAGTCTGATATTTTGAGCGCAATGGACAAAATTTCGTACAATTATAAATGTTAAGGATAGATATCGTCTTCAATTAGTTATTAGAACCACAGGAGTCGTGTGTGGATCTGAGAAACTGTTTTCTGACTAAACTATTATAAAACTTTTTCTATCTCTTTTCATAAAAAAAAAAAAAAATATATATATATATATATATATTTTTTTTTTTTTTTTTACTGAAGCTCTAAATCAACATGTTTAAGGAAAAAATTATTAAAATTAAAGAAGTGCATAAAAGAGAGTAAATAAGAAAAAGAAAAAGATTTAGATTGATATAAGTGATCAATTAATGGTAAAACAAATTTATATATTACAAGTGAAAATTGGTGATTTTACACTAGAAACGATAAAAATAACAAATAACTAGCATACCACAAAAAACCTTATCCTCAAATATCACTTTATAAGATAAAGATAAACAAATAAATATTGTAAATTATCTAAAAGAAAACCCTAAATTAATAATCCCCCAAAGACTTTTGACCTATGGAATAACTCAACAATTGACCTCAACTTGTTATAAGAAAGATAAAGAGTTGATGAGTTGAAAGAGTAGTTTACGATTGAAACGAGAGAGGTTTTAAAAGTTAGGCGGAAAGATCGAGAGTGGAGAGATTTGGAGTTACAGGTAACAGATACTAGTGTATACGCTACTATACTAAACTCCTTTTATTTACAAATCTCAATTTCAATTAAAAAAATATAAATATTATACCGTATGTATGTCTAATCAATCATAAATATATTATAGTAAGCAACGATTTCGTAGATAAATTATATTCTCTAATCAATAATTGAATTGCTAGAGATTTCTCTACTCTCGGATCACTAATCGAATTGAAAGCATGGTTATCAAATCGTGTATCGTATCGTGTATCGAAACCCTAATTTTTTGAATCGTATATCGCGTATCGTATCGTAAGATACGTCTTTTTCAAAAAAATTAATAAAATAATCAAAATTTTCTAAAAATTAATATAATCCCCAAGATTAATTAAAGAATTTTGTAGTATTATTGACTTTAAATTACGGTATTACATAATCAAAATTAATCACAAAATTCTAAGATCAATGTTAATATATATATCTCCACTTATATTATTATTATCATGTAAAATGGGCAATACATATTACTCTTCACTTTCTTCATGCAAAATAGGTAAATTTGGACAGGTTTTAGTGAATCGGGTTGGGTGACCCGGTTTCGACTCAAAATTTTTTTTTGACATTTAGTCCAAATTAATAAAGTCGTATCGATTTATATCGATATTTTTAAGGATACGTATCGTATCGTAGAATATATATCTACGTATAGAATAGTTTAGGATACACTCTCTGATATGTATCATTAGTGACCTATATCGAATTATATCATATGATATTAATCGGATATTGTAGGATACTAACAACCATGATTGAAAGAGATAGATCTCCTTCAATAAACAATAACCGGTATATTTTCCCATGGCCCATGACATACGTTATATTGACAAATTAGAAGACAAAGAATGCCTTGTGAAGTCCCATAATTTGAGCGCAATGGACAAAATTTTGTACAATTATGAAGGCTATGGATAGATATCGTCTTCAATTACTTATTAGATGAAAATTAATGCGTCATTAATAGCCGCGATATATGCCACTCAATCTCAACTCTCAAGCATAGATAAGTAAATAGACCCAAACTCAAACTAAATACAACTCTGGATATGGCATTAATTGGCCTTTTTGAAATCTTCCTGGCAGTCATTTGCTTCTTCCTTCTTCGGTACTTCACCAACAACAATGGGGTGCCCAAGAACTTTCCATTTGTGGGAATGTTGCCGGAGCTTCTGCTCAAAGTTCACAGGATTCACGATTGGGTCACAGAATTATTACAGCGAAGCCAAGGTACTTTTCTGTTCCAGGGGCCTTGGTTTGCTAGCATGGACTTTTTAGTCACGGCTGATCCCGCCAATATACACTACATAATGAGTTCAAACTTCTCGAACTTCCCAAAAGGGCGTGAGTTCAAAGAAATGTTTGATGTTCTAGGAGATGGAATTTTTAATTCGGACTCAGATTTGTGGATAAGCCAAAGGAAAGCTGCTCAAATGTTGATGAATCATCAGAAGTTTCACCAGTTTTTGGTGAAGACAATCAGTGTTAAGGTGGGGAAAGGACTGATCCCAATTCTGGAACATGTAGCCAAGGAAGGGAAAGCAGTGGACTTGCAGGATTTGTTTCAGAGGTTCACATTTGATTCTACTTGCATATTGGTTACCGGCTATGATCCAGGGTGCCTGTCCATTGAATTCCCGGAAGTTCCATTCTCAAAGGCCTTGGAAGATGCTGAGGAATCAATATTTTACAGGCATGTTGTCCCAGAAAGAGTTTGGAAGCTACAAAGATGGCTAGGCATTGGGGAAGAAAAGAAAATGAAGAAAGCTAAGGAGACATTAGATCGAATCGTATTTGAATATATACAAAAGAAAAGAGAGGAGTTGAGCAAAGGAATCCAAGAGAAAGAAGAAGCGGAAGATGTGGATCTATTAACATCATACATGAGTGAAGACTGCAAGGCCGTCGGGTTGAAATTTGTAGACAAACTATTGAGAGATACCATTTTAAGTTTCATGCTCGCCGGGCGGGACACAACAAGTTCTGCTCTCACTTGGTTCTTCTGGCTTGTTTCAAAGAATCCACAAGTGGAAACCAAGATCCTAGAAGAGCTTGAAATGATAATACCAGCGGATAAAATGGCAGCAAAATGGTGGAAGTTTGAAAGTAAAGAGCTTAATAAGCTTGTTTATCTTCATGGGGCATTGTGTGAAGCATTAAGGCTTTACCCACCAGTTCCTTTTCAACACAAGGTCCCAATAGTACCAGACATCCTTCCAAGTGGGCACCATGTTGTTCCAAATAATAAGATCTTGTTTTCTTTGTATGCAATGGGAAGAATGAAGTCGATATGGGGAGATGATTGCTTGGAGTTCAAGCCTCAGAGATGGATTTCGGAGAAAGGAAGGATCAAACATGAGCCTTCGTACAAGTTCTTAGCTTTTAATGCAGGACCAAGAACTTGCCTAGGCAAAGAAGTTGCTTTCACTCAAATGAAGGCTGTAGCAGCCGCTATAATTCATAACTACAATGTTCAAGTAGTGGAAGGGCAGCGACATAGTCCCAATGTATCAATCATTCTTCACATGAGCTCAGGCTTAAAGATGAGAGTACTCAATAGGTGGGCTGAATAGAATCGTGCATGTATAGATGGCTTAAATGCTAGAAATTGAATACAAACAGAGATCAAAGATTTGTAATGATGTTGATATACAAACAAAATTAGAGAGAAAGGTTAACAAAAGATGAGCTCTATAGAGTTGTATAAGAATTGTGACTTCTACTCTTTGGCCGTTAGATTCGAAGTTGTAATAGAATTCTGTCTGCTACTTTTGGCTGTTAGATTCAACGCTGCTTAGTTTAATTGGTTTGATTCAGAATGGCCAAAGCCATCTTAATTTGCCTATCCAAAGGGTAATTATGTTGTTATTTTTGTTATAGGATATCCAAATAATTGTTGTAGAGATATTGTAAGTTTAGATATTTGTTAAATCCCTTACTTTCTTGTTCAAAACTAATAAAAACCTATCACTTTAATGAACAGTAGTTGATATCTGTCAATGTTTAAATTCTATCTAAAACTTTGTTAGTTTAGACTAATTTTATGGCAGTAGCTGCGGACGTTGTTTTGGATTCAGCAGCTATGGACGTTGTTCGGGATCATAATTAGCAGTTTCTTGGTGGCTTTGCAGTTACCTCGGGTTTTCCATTCAAGTCTTCATGCAGAGTTCTTCGCTTTTATTTTAACTACAGATTTTGCTTATGATAACATATGATAAGTTATGGTTTAGAAGTTATTCAACAGTCATCTTGGCTTGTATACATAACAAAGACTTCTCTCCTTTTGGCAACTTCTCTCCTCAATCTTGGCTTGCATTGACATGACTCGTCTTGACCCTCCCTATCCCACGAGCTTCGGACATACTCATGAGACTCAGGTAACTGAGACACGCCATGTTAAATCTGTAAAACCATTAGAAATCTCTTTTTTTGAAATATCATTGCAAAACATTTTCCTCTACGCATCATTATGTGCATACGTCAATAATTTTTTTACAAAAAAAATAAAAGGAATATTTGGTATCAGGTTTTATATCTTTTTTTTTTTTTTTTTTAAAATAAATCTAAAACAAAACATAAGTATGTGATACAAAAGTAAAATCCATCAGTTACACATTTAACAAAATGAAGTCGTGTGGCTCAACCTCGAGCGAATATCACTCTTCTACACGATCCTCTTCTTGACCTGGTGGGGGGAAGGAAATATAAAAAAAAAAAAATTTGTGGTGAGCTAGAAATACTCAGTGAGTGAGGGAAAGGAAGAAAATATTTTAATATACAACAAAACATTTATATTTATAAACTTCCACTTCCATAAACGATTCATATAAACATAAAACATCTTCCAATTTCATGTGAAAATCCTCACCATAACTAGTACCTAGATATGAACCCATCCAACCCGGCAAGGTCTAACATCGTGCAGATTGAATGCAAAATTTATCCTGCTAGGCAGAATCAGTCACCACTCAAGCCTTCGACCCAACGAGACCATGCATCACTCGAGTCGGTACCACATATCATGTCTAGCAATATCTGCCTCACTTAGGCCTTCAACCCCCTTGGACTGGCAAAAACAATCTAATGTAGCGATATCTGCCTTGCTCTGGCCTTCGACCCACTTGGGCGACAAAATCAATCTAATGTAATGATATCTGTCTTGCTCAGGCCTTTGACCCACTTAGGCCGACAAATAACAACTATACGCATATGTAGGATCAAATCAATATCATGAGGGGGATGGATACTATATATGGTGGTTTGAAACTACTATTATCAATATACATGCTTTCAACTCACAATTTTTCATAAATCTCATGCCTTCATTTACAGAGAAACATATAACATTATATTAAATCACAATAATACAATATGAGGCTAAAAATACAAGTTTTAATAACAATTTAGCCAAATTTTTGTATTATCAATAATTCTTGCTCAAGACATATCGAAATCCAATCATTGTCAAATCTAAATGATAATTTTGTATTAAACACATTTCCATAACAAAAATCAAAGGATTTAAGAAAAATAAAACATTTATTATACTAGAGTAAATTATTTATTTATTTTTTTGCTAAAAATAAAAGTTAGGGTTTTGGATTTTCCACTCACTCCCCTGAAGCTTGTCCCAAATAACGAAAACCCTCAAAAAGCTTGGTTGTCCTCCTCCTATTTGAACCAATTCTTTGAAAAAATTAGCTTAAACCCTAAACTTGGGAAAATGAGGGGAAAAAAGATAAAAATTTACCCAAATAAAAGCTTACCCACGGATAATGCACGCCCAAAAAATCGATTCCCTAACGAAAATGGGGTCAAAACCGCCCTTCTTCCCCTTTTCTTCCTTCTCCTTTCTCCTTTCCCTTTTTCTCTTTCTCTTTTTCTTCTCTTCTTCCTCCTTCCAGTCGACTGAAACTGGATCTAAGTTGAGTGAGTGGAAAATCTATTTGCCCCCTTAATTTTTGCGCTATTTCCCCTGGCACGTCAGTATTTTTATCACAAAAGGACCCCTAAATTATCTGCAAGGTCCCAAGAAATTGAATATTTTCACTTAAACCCCCAACAAAAAACTTTATAAATTAATAAAAGCACCCCAACCCACCCATAGTTGCCAAATTCTGGCAACCACCGTCGGTGGTGGCCGAAATCTATCACAACGGTTCACTACTGGCCGATAATGAGCCGATCTGTCCTTTTTCGGTCAAACCCACATTGGATCTGGCCAAAAAATGTCAGATCTGGTGGTCAACGACGGCCATATCTTTGGCCGTCGATGACGGCTAGATCTAGCTGTAAATCTGGTCTTTTCCAGCCAAATCCATGGTAAATCTGGCTAAAAAAGGCCAGATCGACGCACGAATGGTCAGATTTGGCCTGTCGTGCCCCGTAACGCCAGATTTCGGCCAAATTCTGACGATAGTAGACAAAATCTGGCAACTGTAGGTGGGTGGGGGTGTTTTTTTTATTTTACAAAAATTTATATATTAAGGTGTTTAGTTAAATTAGCAAACCTAATGGATTTTTTTGTCAATTTTAAATTTTACCTCGAAATAATCACCCAACTCTACCTACAAATAATATTTCAAAAATACTACTCAAAATACTATAAAAACACCCCCAAAGAAACTTTCAAAACTTACAATTTAGTCCAAATTCCAGAATGTTCACTACCCAGCGAAAAAAGTCTTCTGCTGCAGCACCAGATCTGTAAATTTTCAGTACAGTCCCAATGTATTAAATATTATCACTTGAACCTTAAAACTTCTAAAAACTTGCAGTTCACCCCCTTTTTCACCCATTTCCCAGCAACATTTCAACTTAACTCAAATTACTAATATGGAAAAGTCGTCCCTTTCCAAACCAACCACCAAATATCACACAATACACCAAACATTAACTTTATAACTCAAGTGATTAAATTTTTTGCAAAACAAATGAAGACTTGAACATTCTACACAAACCATTTCACACTTCAAGTTAACCAAAACACTTCCATTTATCAATCAGACAAATCAGTCCACCAAATTGACTAGATTTCTCTTTATCAACTCAAATCAAGAAATCACAAGCAACCAACAAAATCTTTTCATTTATCCAACATAAAAAAATGAGAAAACATGCAAAAGTCATAACAATGCATAAATATATACAACATACATGAACACAATGCGGTATGGGGGTTATATGCATAGCATACATAACAAAGACTTCTCTCCTCTTGGAAACTCAGAATAAGATGCCTTAATTGATAACAAAGGTTCTCTCCTCCTTGCCAACTCAGAGTAAGATGGCTTATTTGATTCAAAAAAAAACAAAAAAAGAGAGAGAGAAAAAAAAATACACCCTTCTAATCCTCCTAGGCAAAACAGGCTTTCAGACCCACTTCTCTCATATTTACGGTGAAGAAAATGAAGCCGATAAATCGGTTAATCTTGGTCTTTCTCATCAGAGCCTTCATTGGTGGTAGTACTTTGCTCCTCGCATATGCATTTACCTTTGTTATCTTTGCGGGTTAAGGTTTTTTATGTCCCCTTTTTTGGTTTTTTTTTTTTTTTTTTTGTTGCAAATTTCAACTCAACTCAAATTACTAATATAGAAAAGTCGTCCCTTTCCAACAAACCACCAATATCACAAAATACACCAAACATAACTTTAACTCAAGTGATTAAATTTTTGCAAAAAAAATGAAGACTGAACATTCACACAAACAATTTCACACTTCAAGTAACAAAACACTTCCATTATCAATCAGACAAACCAGTCCCACAAATTGCTGGGATTTCTCTTATCAACTCAAACAGGAATCACACCAACCAACAAAAAAAAGAGAGAGAGAGAGAAAAATACACCTTCTAATCCTCCTAAGCAAAACAGGCTTCAGACCCACTTCTCCATATTTACGATGAAGGAAATGAAGCTGAATAAATCGGTTAATCTTGGTCTTTCTCATCCGAGCCTTCATTGGTGGTAGTACTTTTCTCTTCGCGTATGGATTTACCTTTGTATCTTTGCGGGTTAAGGTTTTATGTCCCTTTTTCGGTATTTTTTTTTTTTTTGAAACTTCTTCCGAATAAAGTTCCACTGTATTGTAGCTTCGCCAAAAAAAAAAAAAAAGGATATATTGATAGTATTATATTTGCATTCAAAGATATATATCTCGAAGGCATAATATTGTCTCTATTGACGCTTGTTTGGCGCGCAATGACTCGCACGTGGGGAAACGCTTGACTAACTCAGGAGACACACGTGATGGATACATGGGATTTGAATATGGAGCTGAGATTATATATTTTGCAGAAAAATGAATAAGAGATTGGCAAGAGGGGTTTTTATAGTGGTTCGGATGCAAAGCGACTTCTACATCCAGTTTATTGATCTCTGACTATTTCTATGATTTTTGCCGTAAGGCATACAAAGATGAAGAAATACGTGTTTACACAGAGAGAATAAAATGAAACTCAAATCTCAGCCCTGCCCTCCGACCTCCTTCTTGGGAAGAGAAATGCCCATTTATTCACATTTGCAATCAATGCAATGAGTGTTTGCAAGCTGCCTGACACATGGAAGGCCTCGTCCATTCATCTCTTTGAAATGAGATAAAGTTTGTGAGAATATCTTTGGAGATATGGGCTTGGCAGCTGGTACAGAGAGACTTAATTGTGCGACATAGGCTTGACTTTTGAGGCAAAACAGAAGCCCTCCAGTTTTGAAGTGCGAATCGCGCTGAGAAACTAAGTCTGTGATTGAATTGCTGCAGTTCGAATGAAATGTTGAAAGACGATCAGAAATCTGTTAGGAAAACAACCAGAAATCTGTTAGGAAAACGATCAGAAATCTGTTAGGAGCGACCAGAAATATGGGAGGAAAACGACTAGAAAATGGTTAGGCAGCGACCGAAATCTGTTAGAGAAAACGACCGAAATCTGTTAGGAGCGACCAGAAATCTGTTAGAAAAACGAACAGAAATCTGTTAGGAAAAAGACTGAAATCTGAAATCTGTTAGAAAAACAACTAGAAACTGTAGGAGCTCGTCCTGAAAGGTCAAACGAGCCAATCTGAGCAAACGAGCTCAATTGAGAGCAAAACGACCTCGACCGAGAGGTCAAAACGAGCTCAAAAAGCAAAACGACCTCAATTTTAGAGGTCACAAACGAGCTAATCTGAGCAAAAAGAGCTCAACTTGAGCAAAACGACCTCGACCTGAGAGGTCAAAAAGAGCTCAAAAGCAAACGACCCCAATTTTAGAGGTCAAAAACCTCTCCTCGACCTGAGAGGTCAAACGACTGAATGAGCAAAACGACCTCAACTTGAGAGGTCAAAAACGAGCTCAATGAGCAAAAGACCTCAATTTTAGAGGTCAAAACGAGCTCAATGAGCCAAAACGATCTCGACCTGAGAGGTTTTTAAACGAGCTCCAAAAGCAAAACGACCCAATTTTAGAGGTCAAAACGAGCTCAATGAGCAAAACGACCTCGACCTGAGAGGTCAAAACGAGCTCAAAAAGCAAAATGACTCAAATTTAGAGGTCAAAACGACATCTCCCGACTTGAGAGATCAAAACGAGCTCGACTGAAAAGGTCATGACGAGCTCGACTGAGAGATCATTACGGCTCTACCTAAGAGCACAAAAGATCAGCGATTTCAGCAGATCTAAACACGTGATTTGAAGCTAAAGATCCGCGATCTAAAGCTGAGGATCAGGATGGCCGGCGGTGCGATCTGCGATGGCCACACAATCGGAGGAACTTAATACGTGCGACTGCAATCTGGCCACGCGATTGGAGAATTCTGATGCGCGATCGAAGAATTCTAACGCGCGATCTACGATCTAGCACGAGACAGGAGAACCTGATGCGGGTTGAGACTGAGACGCCATCAAGGAACTCGGACGCAGGTTCGAGAATCGGACCTGCATGGGCCACCAAACTGTTGACGCTTGATTTTGGACGCCAAAGACTCGCACGTGGGAAACGCTGAGCTAAATCAGGAGACACAGTGATGGATACATGGCATTTGAATATGGAGCTGAGATGATTATTTGCGAAGAAAAATGATAAAGATTGGCAAGAGAGGGTTTTTATAGTGGTTCGGATGCAAAGGACTTCTACATCCACTGTTATTATTGATCTCTGACTATTTCTATGATTTTTGCCCGTTAAGGCATACAAAGATGAAGAAATATAGTGTTTACAAGAGAGAATAAAAATTAAACCAAACTAGCCCGCCTCCTGCCTCTTTCTTTGGGAAGAGAAATGCCCATTTATTCACATTTGCACTCAATGCAATGAGTGTTTGCAAGCTGCCTTGACACATGGAAGGCTCTCGTCCATTCATCTCTTTGAAATGAGATAAAGTTTGTGAGAATATTTTGGAGATATGGGCTTGGCAGCTGGTACAGAGACATTAATTGTGCTGACATAGGCTGACTTTTGAGGCAAACAGAAGCCTCCAGTTTTTGCAGTGCATAATCGTGTTCAGAAACAAGTCTTCTGAGGTCATGTGCAGTATCGATGAAATCTGTTAGAAGACGATCAGAAATCGTTAGGAAAATAACCAGAAATTGTAGGAAAACGATCAGAAATCGTTAGGACAGGAAAATGTAGAAACGACCGAAATTGTTAGAGCGACAGAAATCTGTTAGAAAAATGACTAGAAACTGTGTAAGGAAAACAACCAGAAATCTGTGTAGAGAGCGACCAGAAATCTGTTAGAAAAACGACCAGAAACTGTAGGAAAACGACCTGAAATCTGAAATCTGTTAGAAAACGACCAGAAACCTGTTAGGAGCTCATCCTGAGAAGGTCATAACAGCTAATAGAGCAAAACGAGCTCAACTTGAGAGCAAAACGACCTCGACCTAAGAGGTCAAAACGAGCCAAAAAG